TCGCCCTGCTTTTTCCTGGCTGCCCCGGGATGGGGTGGGGATGGGGGTTGGGGGCTGGGCTCAGGAGGGCTTGATTCGTGTGTGTAGGCTGCTGCTGGCCCAGCCCCCCCCCTTCACCCCAGGGGAAAAAGTAGGGGCCCTGGAGCCGTGAATCTGTGGCCCCGTCTGTGGTGGCTTCTTGTTTTCGTTCTCTGGGTGGGGGCATGGAGGTTGGGCTGGAGCCCGGGACCTGGTATGCCAGGAGGGATGCGGGCTGCCCCGGGCCATGGTGCATGAGGGCTGGGACAGATGGACGGGGGGCTGGCTGACGGAGTGTGGGTGGCCAGGCCGGGCCTCCAGGTGGCTGATGTGTTCTGTTTCAGAACCAAGGCCTGGGCTGGCACCCAAAGGTCCCTGTGCTGCAGTCCTGGACCCGGGTGGGGCAGGATCCCAGTGCGCAGGGTCAGCAGCCGCTGGGGTGGGCCTGGGAGTGGGGAGTCGCTGGAGCCGGGCTCCAGGCTGTGATCGAGGGGCCCAGGCTTCTGACCCAGGACTTCCCGCTGGACCAGCTGTCTGGAGGCACCAGGAATGTGCCCACCTGGTGCCCCAGTGGGCGCTGGGAGTCGAGGCCAGGCCCGTCGAGGTTGGGCTCGTAGGCTGCCCCCCAGGAGTCCTGTGCTGGCATTTTCCTCCAACCTCCGGCCAGGCAGCCTCACCCTTCTGGCCGCCCACCTGGTAGGGAGGCTGTCCCTGCCCCCCCCTCCCACCATGGTCCTGCCCCTTTGAGCCTGGCTGACTTCTGGGGTTACCTTTGACCCCAGGGCCTCAGGAGAATGTGTCCCTGAGATGGATAGCAGGGGCAGGCCGGGAGGGCCCTGGAGGGCTGGGAGGGCCCGGGGCAGTTCCGATAAGCCCGCCCTCTCGCCCCCACATCGGTGCAGCAGGCAGGTCTGAGCAGGGCCGCAGCCTGTCATCTGCGCTTGGGGCCCAGCCAGGGCGGCTTCGGATCGCTACCTGAGGATGTGTTTTCTGCCTGAGTTGGCAGCCGTGGCGTGGGGGCAGGGAGGCCTCAGAGGAATGTGGCGGGCCAACACGTGTCCCTCGTGGCTTTTGGGCCCACTGGCCGGCCAGGCCTGGGATGGGACGGGGCAGGCCCTCGGCTCCCAGGGAGCCCTGGGTGCTGGGCTCTGGGTCTCAGGCAGGTCCCCTCTTCCTGCTCGCAGCTAGTTCCCCCCGATGTCCCAGGAGGGGCCGAGTGGCCGGGCCCAGGTGGGGGAGCACGGCCATGGGGCAGTGCGCATTGGGGCCCTCCTGTCTCCCCTCCCAGCACAGTGTGGCTGCCACCCCGGGCGTGGAGCGGGTGGTGATGCCAGCGCCCTGGTATTTCCGCTCAGCTGCAGCCGCTTCGCGGCCACGGGGCCTCCGCTTGCGGCGGGTCCCACTCTGTCCTGTGAGCCGGGGCACATCTGGCACCCAGGGCACCCCCGGGGGCGCGTTGCTGTGACTGCAGGAAGCGGAGGGTGTGCCTGGGCCCAGCCGAAGCCCCCCAGCCAGCGTGGACTTTCGGGGTCCCTGGGGTAGGAACATGAGGAGGGCCTTGGGGGGCTGGAGGTGGAA